AATAAAAAATATTATATACATTTTTAATAAGAAATGCTACTGTTTCTATAGCTGCACATCTTTATATTAAAAACTCGACTCGCTTGTCCATCTTTCTCTGTATTTAATTATATTATTTTTTGCATTACAGAATATTTTGCATTTATTTATATTTACGCTTCCCTCTGATTCCCTGCATAATCCCTTGGTGAGCGCATAAACTCGTCGTTATTTTGTATGTGGAGCTTAAGCTGCGGTGCTCGCTGAGTACCGTGTAGCATGTACCTCTTAGCTCTTACCTCTTACCTCATGCCTGGCGTACCTGTCGTATACCTGGCGTATCTGGCGTACCCGAGCTTTCCCAGCCCCGGCCTTGTACGTAGTGCGAGTAAATGCAATTACAGCATAAATCTCTGTCATTAGACTTTGTTTGTTGGGCAATCGTCGTTGGTTTAGTTGCCCAGTTTACCGTTAGCCAGGTCAAGCCGTGGAGGGGTCTACTGCCAGTCCTTGCGGTTGGCTCTGCACTCCATGGCGTATGAGTTATGCCAGTGCTCTTGTTGCTGTTGTTCTTGTTGCTAGTATTGTGAAGCGCAGAGCAACGCATTTAATAAAAACCTGACAATAATTCAGGGGCTCACACACACACACACATACACACACACTGGTAAGTCGCAATGAAATGTTATGAAAGTCCTTTGGCTTTGCTCATTTTCCAACTCCTCTTGGCGCTAAATTTGAGAATTTCATACACGTCCCAGCGACTCAAACATGTCACTTGGCATTTTATTAACTCAATGGGGTGCCGTTTGCATGTGTGTGTGTGTGTGTGTGTGCTGGCAAATCTCAGCTGTCAATACAACCAGATATTAATCAGAAGTGTCTGGCCTGCATCCATTGTGGCATGTCGAGCGTCTCCTCCTCCTTCGCCTCCTCCTCCTCCTCCTCCTCCTCCGCTTGTATGCAAAGTATTGTGTACTAAGCGCTTCAGCCAACGCACATGGATGGCATATTAAAAAGAGAGAGTGCCAAACACTCCAGAGGTAGACCCATCCATCCATCCATCCACTGAACAGAGATGAAGGCAAGGAAAAAAGTGCTTTATTGACAGGTGTCGATTAAGAATTTAGCCATATTTGTTGTTGTTGCTGTTGCTGCTTTTTGTTCGATGCATATAAAAAATTTATTACACGCACGAAAACACACAAACGTGTCGCATTTGCAGCCATCGCAAGGCAATGGGGCAGGGGGCGTGGCTATTGGAGGGAAAAGCTCGCTTATGTCGTGACATGTAAAATAAATCAAGCATGGAGCACGAGGAGTGCCCCATGTGCCCCAGCTGTGCGTAAGGAAAACGCAGCGAATTTGAGGTTAACATGTGTGCAGAACAGACTAGAGAATTCTTGTGGTTGCAAAGGGGTGAAGCTACAAGCAAAAAGACGGCGGACAGAGAGTTGCTCACTCTCTCTCTCTCTCTTCCTCGCGAGGCACTGATTGACATTGAAATTGAAAACGGCTGAGGCTCGAGCTGTGATCTGCGAGAGTTCTTGACTTTGATGCAATGAGAGTGGAGTGAAAGCAGAGTATTTATAGAGCATGAAAAGTATTTATAGGGAAGATTATAAATAAACGATTAGAGCATAGCAGCGAAATGTGTAGAGGTATATTTCACACCAAATTATTTATTTATTTTATTCATTTTATATATTTATTTAAAAGTTAGAGATAATATAAAATTTAGATAGGGA